TTCCCTTCAAACATCAAACCACAATGATGAACAGTTCTGCACTTTTGAACCTGGCACAAAATGGAGATTTGCAGAATATGGCTGCTGTGTCGTTCACTACATGTGGCTATAGATTTGATTTAGCAAAATTATCCAAGAATAAGATAGTTTAGAGTAAGCGGTATTCTTGAATTAAACAACAACAACAACAACAACAAAAAACCAACAAAAAATAAAACAAAACAAAAAACCCAAGAGATCCACTTCTGAGGCTTTGACATTAGCACAACTTGTAACTTCATGGTGGTTCATAACTATGAACAAAATAAGTTATGTATATACACATATATAAAACATAAAAATATTTATTCCTTCGTTGTAGTCCTAAAGGTACATGGTTCAAATCCGGTAGCTGCTCCACAGCAGGATGGGCAATCTCCTCCTATGCCAGTATTGCCCTCCTCCTCCCGTGAAATAACTCACCAAGAGAGTCAGCTATGGCTCAGTTTATGAGTCAACAATACATATCAACAGCAAATAATAATAATAATGCATTGTTTAATATTTATATTATTTAAATTATATAAAATTTCATTATCTATTTTACTGTATTTTGTATTGATATCTTATTTATAAATTGAACCTTTGCTAAAAAGCTGCTCAAAATACTCTATTTCACTTTTTCAATATGGTTGCCTATAAAAATAAACACCACATGAGTAAATTATTTCTATTTATAACAGGCAGTCTACTAAAACAAAGTTAGCTGGAAAGTCTAGGTTTCCCAAGTTCATTCCAAGAGACCTATTAATGGCTAACTTCTTCTTTGGGCATTGTCTTTTAAATAAGTATGAGGGTATGAGCAATTTACAAAATTCCTTGAGAAATTAAATGTGTGCCTTTCCAAAAGAGGAACAGTTTGCTTAAAGAAATCCAAAGACTTGACATGGTTTTAAAAGTTTCATATTTAGATATTAGGAATTATTAGTGTGTATATTTATTCCAGTTTAAATACTCAACATAAATCTTTAGGAAGTACATATTTCCTAAGAGTATTTTTCATAATTACATTTATTTGCAAAGATATTTAAATTGTCAATAAAAATGTAAACTTACAGCCAATTTTTTTAAAAAAAAGTTTCAACCCAACATGTTTAATGCAGTGGATAATAACCATTTCTGGAATTTAAAAAGGCAAACTTCCAATTTTAAAAAAGTTAATTCAACCAATGTCATAAAAAGCCGTACACACAAACCTGAAATATTTTCATTAAAAACAACTAATCATTTACTGGAATTTCCTCTTAAAAAACCATCTTCAGAGTTTCCTATTATCTCTGTTCTATGAACCACGTTTATACTTTTCAGAGAACTGAAAATTCACTTAAAACTAAGTGCAAATGTCTACATCTTTATATTCAGTTGCCAAGATTTCATGGATGGCCAAAAGAACAAGTCCTTCTTGGAAGAGGTGTGACCAGGGGGCTGCTTAGAGTCAACGCTGGTGAATCTTCCTATCACATACTTTGGGTATGTTTTCAGGAGGCCAGGACTTGGGGAAAGGTAGCACGTGGAGAAATGCGTAAGGTCAGAAATGAAGACCCTCAGGATTAATAGTTATTTTAACAACAGTCTCCTGCATGGAGGTGTTTGCGAGAATGGATGGCACAGGATACGGTGACTGAATTACACCCGAATTGATGAACCTCAAAACAATCTACAATCAATTAGAAAACTCACCGTTACACAGCCATTTCCAAATCAATTTCATCTTCAGAGACATAATCATCTTTTGGTCAGATTTCATAATATCCTATATTTAAATTTTATTATAAAAGAAAACAAATAAAAAGATCATCAACCTGGAATAAACCAACTTTGAAGGCAGCACCAATAATTCTTGAGAAACATTCAAACTAAAAGATAGCTCAGAAATATATGGAAATACTCAAGAAAGTTACTAGATGCCAAGAGTAATTGTGCTCCAGCACCAGACGTCTGACTGAAAACGATGTCCCAATAAAGCAGCCTGACCCAGCAATTCCACTACTGGGAATATACCCTGAAGAGACCATAGCTGACATCCAAGCAGATATATGCACACCCATGTTTATTGCAGCTTTGTTCACAATAGCAAGGAGTTGGAAACAACCTAAGTGCCCATCAACAAACGAATGGCTAGAGAAACTGTGGTATATTCGCACAATGGAATACTATGCTGCATTAAAAAACAAGGAACTCATGCAATATTATTCAAAATGGTTGACTCTGGAGAACATTATGCTGAGTGAAATATCCCAGTCACAAAAGGACAAATATTACATGATGCCACTGTTGTAGAATGGGACTGTCCTTGGGGCTGGGGAGAGACTGAGTAAGATGGGTTCAATAATGTGTACTGCACTGAAACAGAGGAGGGAGAGAACCATTTAAAAGAGAGATGTAACTGGGTATTTCTGTCATCACAGGAGACTAGAGCGAGGGCTACATGGTGGAGGGGACCTGGGGGAGGGTTTGTAAAACAATGAAAGAATCTTTTCTTTTACTTTTCCATAATTTTTGGACTCATGTACTTATAACTTGTTAGTCAAATTTGTGTCTTCTAGGTTGCAACACCCCCATGATACATCTTCAAGGATATGTACATGTACAGCCAAGCACAATCAATAAGAGTGCATCTGAATTCCAAAATCAATCTCCATAATAGTCTATGTGTTTCCTACTGCCAAAGGGGCCCTTTAGAGTAGTGAGAGAAGATCTTCACCCTGAAACCCACAGCGTCCCTTTTCAGCAGGAAGTAGCTAAGAGAATACGCCGTTCCCTTTTCCTTATGACTCAGGGTGAAGTCTCTCTCAGGGAGGAGTGATAGGGAATGGCAAAGGATACACTGACAAAGAAGATTAATCAGAACTGGCTTTGACAAGCACTGTGGCATTTGGACAAGAACAAACTGGGAGGAGGGTAGAGAGAATAGTGCAACAATGAATGAGTGGAAGCCCAAAATCTCTGTAAATGTTTATGAAAATTAATAAATTAAAAAAAAAAAAAAAAAAAGCAAGGAGCCTGTTGTCCAGCCTAACAAAACAGTAGGCTGAAGCAAGTAACTTATGTCACTTTGTAGATCAAGACCACACCAATTCTTTAAAAAATAATATACCATTCCAACTATAATATACTGCTGCTTCAGTTCCTATCTCAGCAAGCAATTAAGGAAGAGGAACGAGTTAAATTTAAATATATAATTTCTGATGAAAAAAGGAAGGGGAATGTAATGGGGAAGTTTTGTGTGTGTTTTGTTTTGTTTTAAAAAAGGAAAAAGCTTGCTGGAGCAAGGCTAAGAAGCTTTAAGATTCCCTTAGATGCACACTATGAATTGGAGGAGAGTTCTGGGGGCTAACAAAAGCCCACAGTTCTCCAGTGGCTTAAATCCATCAGCAACTCCTAAGGAGAATTAGTGACCGGAAAAAAAAAAAAATTTAAAACTCAAATTAACTGGTTCTGATTCATAGCAACCTTTTTCCTTGAGTCTCTTTTTTTTAAGTTTTTATTTGTGTATTTCACTGTAGTGCTGTAACAACAAATAACATGTGTACCAGAGCATACATACAACAGTGAGATGTAACTTCTCATTACACCACTGCTAAATATTTAGCTTTTTCTAAGAGACATAAGCAGTAAAATGGGCACACCCTCTGGGATTTTTTTCTTTTCCCTTAGATAATCTTAATTTTCTTCTGTCAGTAATACTTTATCAATTCTACCATTAATAGAACTGTAAATGATCTGGGTGGTGGTACACTGAGGGTGGGGGTTCATTCAACTGCTTTATAATGCAATTATTGCTATTTTCTTGAGTTTCTTGAGGCTCAAATCACAACAGATTACCTATCTTTCGCCTTCCAAACTGCTGGTTTACTGAATTACAGAAGCCTGGCCTTTGGGTTAGTGCAATTTACACCACAGGAGTTCCCCAATCATCAGACTGGAATTTCTAATTGGCTCACTCAGCAAGAAAAAGCCATGGGCAAGTAAGCATCAGTGTTTCAATTAAAAGTGGTACATTCACAGACTAGGTTACTACACAGCACACAGGAGCAATAATTTTTGTAAAATACTACCTAACTTGGGAGAGACTGATGAGCATTATGCTGACTGAACTAACTCAGTTCCACAAGGACAAATATTGTAAAATATAGTAATGTAGAATAAGGATCCGGGGGGAAGGAGTGTGGAAGCAGAGGGATATGGATGTGCAGGGGGAAGAGGGGATATTAATCATGGAGTCATATAATTTGATGGGGGGCTGAGGGAAATTCAAAGAATCTGTTCTGGAAATCAATGTGTTTTGCAAATAAACTAGTATAATAAAAAAGAATGAGCAGCTTAAAGTATACATACGGTAATAAAAAGCCCTCCCATTAGATGGCCAGTAAAAATTAGGCTTCTGGTTATGGGACAGTACGCTGCTAGAGTACCAGGAATGATCCACCAAGACTGGTCCCAGGTCAAAGCTATTTTCTCCCTCTAAATCAATGCTTCGGGGTGCAGAACTAGTCTCCACACTGCCCTATCAGCACAATGTTGCATGCCATCAAGTCAGAAGCTACTTACAGCTAGTCAGAGGTTGTAAATTGCAGAGGACACTGCCTACCTTTCAGCTGTAGAGCAGCTAGTGGTTCCAAACAAATGGCTGGAAAACATTTGCAGGTACCAAGAATGGGGTTAACTGGCTCACTCTTGAGTTTGGAATCAACTCAGAAACAACAGGTTTGGTTTTTGGTTTGGGACACCATTAATTCCTATCACACAAAACCAGATATAACTGAATGGAGAAAAAGAAGGATAAATAGTTATCTTTTTCTCTCTTTAAATTCTCTATTTACATAGCCAACTAGAATGAATAATAGTTCTGTATCTGGAAGATGTGTCAATCAGGAGATCTTAATACAGAGAGCAAAACATTGCAATATCTACAGCAGACAATCCTTAGTCACAAAGATAAAATGGAAAGAACACAGATATGAGTGAACAATTTTTATTGAAACCCTCAAAGATTAAAGAGGACCAAATGGTGAGTTTGGGTACCATAACAGAAAAATCTCACCTAACTGTACCATCATTCACAGGAATGAACAAACTCAAACACGACAAAATTCAAATTTCCATGTAACTGCTACAAGTGAATGTAAATGAACTAATCATTTTTATCAGTCTCCCTTTAAACATACTAAAAGAAGGGAATTTACATGGCATAACAAAAGATATGCAAAACTTAATGAAAACACAATTCTCTTAAATCTCTTAAAACGTATTTCTAAAGGAAGTAAAATTCACCTGAAATGATTAAATGACTCAAGCTGATTCTTTTTCTTTTTTTTTATTGCAAACTGTTTAAACATCAGCTTAACCTCCATGCATGGTATTCAAAAAGAACACAGCTTTTGAATTAGAAAGATCATTTAAGTTAAAATAATTATTGAAATTAGGAAAAAGTCTGGGGTTTCTTTTGAAAGGAATCTTCAAGTACCAATATGTATATAGAGAAAGAATACTAATTTTGGTTACATTTCCCCCTTACTGTTAAATACACAAACTATAATACCTTTCAAAATAAAATACCTACACAACTTTAATAAGAAACATTCATAATCAGAACTTAGAAAAACATTAAAAAATTAACTGGGCAACAATTTTCTTAATCTGATTATTCTAACATTTGCTTCTGTGTCTCCTGTTGTAGAGCCCAGGTTCAGGTTCTGTCCCTTTTGGTATCTACAGCAGTTAAACATTCAGTTAGTTGTGCTATTGAGACAACCTGTAATAATTTCACTTAGGGAAAAACGTCTTGCAATACCTTGACAGAAAAAGGATAAAGAGAAGGTGGGTATTCTGGGACAACTTAAGAGGAAACCACAAAATTATCCACTGAAACAAAGGTTTTTGTTGTTGTTTTTCCCAAAGGAATGCTGCACCCATTTCACTCAAGATTGGAAATCCAGGTTAAAGGCACTGGGATGTACTCCTCACCATGAATAGAAGATTCAATTACATCTGACATATTTCTGAGTCTGCTATTACAATCAGCTTCTTGCTGAACGTTTCCATGACATCCCTCACATAGAAACCTAATGTAAATTAAACAAGTTTAAATCCATTTATAATGTAACTATTTTTTTTTTTATAAAAATATTCAGAGTTGCTAATAAAGCACCAAGAAAAAGAGAACCTCAGGGAGAGGACTCAGATCCTTCCTACAAGGTCACCCTTTACAGTTTTCTCTAACAGGAGCTCCAGAATGACAAGAGTCCTCACTGACAGGAACATTGCTATAGTGACTATACCCAAATGCCAATTTTCAATATAAATAGGTAAGAGACATTTTACAAGATTGCATGGCTTATTTCTTAAACTCTTAAAAAGGTAAAATAGGTGCAATTTTCCTTTAAGAAAGTCTGTATTTTGTAATATACTCTATTTTGATGTTCCCTTCAGTAAACACTAATGTAACTATACTCTGAGACTACCAAAAGAACTGTGAAGTAGCTATGATTATCCACAAATACTGTCATTTTTTCACCTGACTACAGTATTTGTACATTTTAGGAAAATATTGTAAAAAAAAATAATTATATAAATGAAAAGTTTCAAAGAAATGTCACTAAGATTTTTGAATTGAACTGACCAAAGACCATAGTAAATGAAAATATTTCTAAACATGATGTAAACATAGGTAATGCAAAATATCAAGGTATTCAAATAACTAATGTATTGCTATTTCCATCCTTAACAAGTCCTCCTTCTACATAGCTTTCTCCTTTCAGAACAGTAATATAAGGGGCAGTACATTATCTTCACAACCTTACATCATCAAATCAGTTAATACAGATGCTTGACACATTTAATTATAACAAAATCAATTTGTTTTAAGATACAAAATTAATGTTGATATGTAATTAATGAAAAAAAACAAGATATTAAAAAAAGATAACTATAAGAATACCCAGATATATGCTGTATTCCCATTTATATAGCTCTGATCAATAAAACATCAACACATTCACTTAGATACTGATTTAATCCATGGATCAAGGCCATATTTTCAAAGTATTTTAAGGATGCCAGGACACTGCAAAAGCCGGAGAAAAAAGTTGAGGAACAGTATATATGCTTGCTAAACAAGAACTATGTTTACTTTGCTAGTGAATACCTAGAGTAATAAATTTTTACTTCATGATAGCAATCAGGCTCGCAAACACCCAGAAATAGGAATTAAAGGTTTTAAATGTAGTTATAAAGGTCATAAAAAGTCTGATTAGACTGAGGTACATTTACTCAAAATTTGAGATTCATTAAGTGGTAGCAAACAAAATAATTTCTCAGACAAATGCACATTTTTTTTCAGTATACATATTATTAGGGAAGGAGGGGAGAAGAATGTGCATTAACTGGTGAAATCCACCAAGCTGCATATCAATATTTTGTTACACCAAACAGTCTGAAGACAAGGGAATTGTTCTAATATAATTTCAGATTATGTTTCATTTGGCTAAAATAGAGCTTAATGTTGCTTTGCCATATTAAAAGTTTACTACAATAATTTTCCACATAAACATTTAGACTTGAACTCTGGACTAAATATGGCATGATTATTTTGCTTTTAATCTGTCAAATAGCTAAAAATTGACAATTTAAAAACTACAACAAAGAAAAAATTGAAGCAGTGTGACTCTTACATCAATGAACCACTTCCTATGGTTAACTGTTAGTATTTAACAAATTCAAAGTTAATGAATCTTTGCATTCATTCAGTCTTCTGTGCCTTAGCTAGGATGCATAATTACAAAAGACAGCAGATACTGGTAAAAGCTTCAGGACAGAAAGTGCTTGACGAAGTTACTGTTCTCAAGTGTGTTTGGTGAGAGTATAAGGGCAGATGCGCTGATGAAAACCATTACAAGAGTCAGTTCTGTGTTAAAGTGTTCAAAGATGTCACCTTAAGCAGAAAAAAAAAGCTTTAACAATGTCTTCTTTGACTTATTAGGCATTTCCCGAGTCTACGTCATTAGTGTTGTCATTCAAACAGGGTATCTCCATACAGTTATTGTTTGTTTCTATTTCTCTCCTAAAAGAAACACACAAAAAGAATTACAATAAAACACTTTGGTAAATATAATGTAAACCAAATATGTCAACCATCTGCATACAAAAGCCTTCAAATAGTAATGCAAGGAATTCGTTAAGAGTGACTACATATATGAATATCAACAAATGCCTTTCTGATTCTTTCAATCCATTTTTTGCTTTTTCAAAATTTACTATGGTAAATTTACACATAACAAAATATCTGTCACTTTGGCATTCTTCACATTACAATTCAGTATCACTAAGTTTGCAAATAAACTAATTGAACACTGTTTTCAAAGTATTTTTTTAAAAATGTCTCAAAAAGATGACCAACACCACACAGTCTATTAATGAGATGCATTCAGTAGTGTTTCTATCATCTTTTCATGGTTAAGTCAGTGGTTCTCAAAAACGAGCATGCACCAGAATCAAATTACAGAACCCCAGCCTAGTCCAAAGCTGGCTCTTGTGAATTTAGCTGTAGCCAGTACACTGATGATACAGATGCTACTGAACCAAGGACATTATGCTAACAAGCACTAGTGTTTAGTATACTCTACTGTAGCTATGAGTATACAGTGCAAATCATCAAATTCGTTTTCACTCTTCCATGACAATAGCATAAAAGTTCTATTTTAAAAAAAAAAACCCTAGAGTTATCAGTTATTAAAATCCTTTCTTTTGTCACACAGAATCAAAGACCTTTTTATCAACATTTAAAAATCTATCCCAGGCAAACAAAAAAAAAAAATCCTAGGTTTTACAAATGCATATATTTTCTAAAGGCATTTTTATAACTGTTAAGAAAAATAAGGGAATGTAGCAATTCTGCTTGGCTGGTATTAGAAAAGGACACAAACATAGAAGTAGGAAGTCCAATTAGAGAGCAACATAATTCAACAGTGGAAGTCAGAGAAGTATTTGGGTGAGTACAGACTTTGAAGACACAGCGAACAAGTAAATCATGTTGATGGATTGTTGTTATTTGCCGTGGAGTTGCTTGCAACTCATAGTGATCTTATGTACAACAGCTCTGAACTCTGCTCTATACTAAGCCAACCTTATTGCCTGACACACCTAACCCCATTTCCCCAGTCACTGAATCATCAATCCATCTCATCGAGGTTCTTCCTCTCTTACGCTGTCCCTCCACACTCCCAAGGATGATTGCCCTAACCAAGGACTGGTCCCTCTTTCCAACATGCCCAAAGTGTGTCAGATGAAGTTTCAGAATCCTTGCCTCCAAGGAGCAGCCTGGTTTCACCCTCTCCAGGACAAATCTGTTTGTTCTCCTAGTAGTCTATATGGTATATTCAATACTCTTCTCCAGCACCAGAGCTCAAAGGCTTCAATTCTTCTATCATCCCTTGTTACTGTCCAGCTTTCTGATGCACAGCATATAATGGAAAAGACCATGACAAAACCATTTGACTGTGTGGATCAAACAAACTGTTGCTAACTCTAAGAATGGGAATCCCAGAACATTTGATTGTGCTAATGTGAAACCTATACTTAGACCAGGAGGCATTCCTCAGAACAAAGCAAGCAAACACTCCACAGTTCAAAATTCAAAAGGGTGTATGCCAGAGGTGTGTTCTATCACTATACCTTTTCAATCTATATGAGGAACAGATCACCTGGGAGGCTGGGCTCTATGATGAGAAATGTGTTAATGGATTAGATATATAAAAACTATCAATGATGAGTTCAGGTTTTATAGCCTCATCAGATGGAAGGACAGTGATAGTCACTATCAAAACAGAGAGGTTACACTAAACTTAAGGTGCTTATTAGATAACTAGGGAGCTCTGGATCTAACACCACGGAACTGGCTATGGAACTCAGGAGATAGAGAAAAGGTCTATAATGAGCACAAGAAGTTGGGAATCCCAGGCACAGGCTTATCAATAAAATAAAGTCCTCCAGAAATCTATGGTCTATATTTTGTTTAGAAACTCCTCTTTAAGAAACCTTGTCCTCCAAACAGAATACTTATATTCCTAAAATCTAAGACTATGCCTGATAGTGTTACTACTAAATAAATCTTTGAACATGAGATGTCTAAGGTCACATTTGCAGCTAGAAAGCACTAGAAATATCAGAGAAAAAAATGAACTAGGACTGATACTAACATTATGATCTAACATAATTATATAATGAAACACATTATGTAACTTACATCACACTCGAACAGGTAGTGTTGCTATAATGTTAACACATGGACCAAGGAAATTTGAATCATATAAAAATAATCAATCCCTGCATGCCCGAAGGGGCTAACCTGGCAGTGTTAGTTCAGAAAGTGACAAGGTAAATACATACTTTTTAAAGAGATACATATTTTTCCAAAATGAGTCATGCAAAATAAGCAAACCAGAGACCAAAATAATATGCCAAGGCACAACCCAGAATATGATCCCTAAAGATGAACACCAGGAAATTCTTTATTCTAACTCAGGTCTTTGTGATGACGCTTACCAGATAAGCCAAGTGAAAATCTGGAAAATAGAGACTTCAATTTCCTCAGAGGGACTAAAAGCTTATCCTTGAAAGGGCTTGTTTGCCCCTTTAATTACCTGTAAGTTTCTCAATATTGGCAAGCTTCAGTAACCAAACTGGACTACAAGCAAATCACAAGGGGAAAAATAAATGCCTGTTTAAGATGCACCATGCAAGAAGGAAACAAACTTAAAAACAAGGACAGAATGTGAACTAAATAAAATAGAACTGCTGAAGAAGACAGTGTATACCTTAAAAACTACAGAAGGAAAGTCCTGTCATCCACAGGCTAGCCCTCTTTAACATGTGGCTTTGCTTCAAGAGCACCCTTACTTCCAAGTTTGTAGTGACATAGTTTTCTTTTTTTAAGCACTCATTTGACTTAACTGAAGTTCTAAGTTATCATTGTTCTAAGTTTGCCTATTTATCTGCATTTTAATTAGATTACATTAAAAATAAAGAAAAAAATAACCAATTGCGCTATTGGTTATACTAGTTTATGAGTTTTTCCTTTTCAGGTTTGTATATCTAACTTTGCTCATTTTGATTCATTAGCTTAATATTTTTGGATTTGTTACAAGTACTGCTTAGTGTGAGAATACTGCACAGAATAAAATTACAAGATCTCTGTCCACAAACAAAAACAAATGGCCATACTTGGGTTACAAAAGGGGCCACAAATCTAGAGGCAATCCAAATGCAATACAGATCAAATTAAAAACAAAAAACCACACAAATAAACATTATTTATTGCTTTAAAACCTGATATATATATTGAAAAATTGTATATTGACGTGTTCTAGCTCCTGAACTGTAATACTACTTTCCTAATATCCCCACAATCTTAACCAAAATGAATATTAGTGGGACATAAGGATCTTATTTACATTGCTTCAACCAGGCACTTGGCTGGGTTTCCAACTATGGCAAAGACTCAAGGTGGATGCGAGACCTAGGGGTAAAACCCAAAAGATTACTGAGAGATAAAATGAGAACAAATGTATAAGAAGCCCCAGTCTATGACATAAATAGACTTGCAAACACAGCCAACTTGGAAAGGATAAAAATTGATGAATAGGATTTTATAAAACCAATCCCTGTGTATATCAGAAATTTTCTCAAATAGGCTGAAAAGAAAGACTACAAATAGGGAAAAACATCTCAGACAAGATTCTTATCATTAAAGTTTAGAGAATCCTACAAACCTCCACAAGGAAGAGTGTTAAGTCAATTACAAAATGGGCAAAAGACAAAGACTCAACAAAAAGGAGGACATTTAAATGGCCAATAAGACACATAAGGAAATGTTCAAAATCACAAGCAATCAGAAAAATGCAAATCAAAACAATTATGTGGTATGTATTCACCTCAGCAACAGCAAATCGGAGAGGATGTGGGAAGATGGGAACTCGAAAGCACTGTTGATGGGATTATAAACAATTGCTAAGGAAGACAGTCTAGTTGTTTCCTCAAAAACCTGAACACAGTTTTGTATGTAAATACATAAAAAATGTAATATATGTAAAGGGAAAAAACTGAATGCAGAAATCCCATACAACCTAGCTATTCCACTGCTAGCAATATATCTCAAAGAAATCAGAACAAAGATGCAAATAGCAGTATTACCGTGTCAAGAAAAATGAAAACCACCCCAAATTCCCATCAACAAATGAATGGATTTAGAAATTGTGGTGCATTCACACAATGGAACATTCTACCACACTAAGAAACAATTCTGTAAAATACTAAGTAACATTGGAGTCTAGGTGAGTTAAATACCTCAGTCATTTATAGACAAATCCTGTACACAAAGACCACTACGTATACTATACTATACTTATACTAATACTCTACACTATACTATACTATAAATATAAATGTTCAGAAAAGAAAAGAAAGGTTAAGGAAACGGGGGAAATCAGTAGGAAATTTTGAAGCACACAGGGATTTTATTCCAATAAGGTCCCATTCATTTATTTTATCCTCTTCAGGCTGTCCATTTATGGCTAAGTTTGCAAGTCTATTTATGTCATAGGTTAGGGCTTCTAAATTTGTTCTCATATTGCCTCTTAAGATCTTTTTTGTTTTATCCCTAGATCTTTAGGTTGGTAGGTGGTGAAGTAATGGAAAAGATTCATTAAGGACTTGAAAAGATGAAAATCAATGGGAATTAACTGTATAAAACACAATGCACATGAATTATTATATAAATGTACAAAACACAATGTATGCCAACTTAAATATATGACAAATTAATTCAATTAATTTAAATTTTAAATTAAATTCCATTAAAGACTAGTTTCTTGGAGATAAAAATGATCCACTGGATGTACTATCATGTACCTGTGGTACATTTACCTAAATAAATTAATATTTATACAATATTACTAATGAACTTTTTTCAATTTCCAATTCTCCTACTAATATTCTTTTCAGTTCTAAGATTGAATCTCGGAGATCACTGTAATTTCACTTGCTATGGCTCCTTATTCTTAGTTT